TACAAAACTAAAAACAAAAGAAAAAGATTCGACCAATAGGAGCCGAGATATCCAAACTTACCTCTATTTTAAAGATGGCCGCCGACGCACAGGGAAATTTTGTTGGAACTTTGTGAATTTGGATATCTCTTATGATCTTCTACTCACCCTCAAAAAATTGGCTTGTCTATCCGTTTTGTAGATATTCGGTATTTTTGATACTATTTTATTGTACTAGCAAGACTTTCTTATTTAATTTGTTAACTTTAGGATCCAAAAGCTTTTTTTTAGTGGTTTCTTTTTTTTGAGTGGTAGTTTCCGTTTCTAACTGCTTTTTGTAGGGAGACAAAGTCAGGATAACAATTTTTCCTCTTTTCATTACATGAAGTGTGTAGGTACCCGGTTTTGCCCCAACACGAAGAAAATAACAAACACGGCGGCTGTATATTCCGGCGTACAAAATTACGATCAAAATTAATGTGATATACTCTCTAATATGTACAGAATGCAATGCTGCATTTACCGAAGCAGATGCTCTGTGTAGAAAAAGTTTATAATAACTCGATTGTTGCCCCGATATTGATCTTTTTTAGCTTGAAAATTTTGAACTTCTCTCAAAAAAAAAATATGCACGTAAGAAATGTGCACGTTCATTTCAAAATAATAATGGCATCAATCTACAACTAATAACACGAGTTAACTAAAGATAGTAACATTTATTACGAAGAAACAGAGATACCCGGTTTGACCCGCCTACCCGGTTTTACCCTACTTTCCCCTATATATATGTGAGAAAAATTTTTGGTACATACCAATTTCGCTACATCAAGAATGGACATACTGTTGTCATCTATAATATCTTGTAGGCGAGTAAGATTTTTCTGAACATCATATCCGAATATTCCCGGTATTAATAATTCGTCCATTAATCGCATTTCTTTAATCAAGAATTCTTTCGAGAGATTGGATGTTATTCTTCTGCAAAGCATACAATTGATATGGCAAAAAAAAAGATTTGTAGTAATATTATAGACAATAACAAGAATCCCTAATGGAATGTGCCAAGCACTCACAAATTATTGACGAATTCCTTAGTCAAGTTGTAAGACACGCGATTAATATCGCATACTGTTATTGCAGGAAATGGATAATTCCATATTCCATGATGCGTCGATTCGATAACTGTCAAGGTGGGATGAGTAGCATAATAATTCCATGCCATTTTCATTAAAACGAGAGCACAACATAATGACGTTAACACCGTTACTGCCCAAATAATCCTATAAATAATTCTCGATAATACATACATAATTGTTATCATCTAAATATTAAGCTAAACGCGTAAAAAAATTCACGCACATTGTACATAAATTGAAACCCGTTTTTACATTTTCAACGATAATACTTTGAATTTTATAGATAATTTCATAAGTTTTAAAATAAAAAATATTGTTTGCGTTCTTTCTCTTTTCTCTCTCTTTCCATAATTACTAATTATTTATTAAAATTAAATAAACGCCTCACAATCTTTTTCTTTCAATTTAATAACGATAATATGTGATATTTATAAGAAACATAATTAATAAAATACAGAATAAAAAAGATAACGCTGTTGCATATTTATATAAATATAAATTAAATTAATTTAGTCCGTTTTTATGATAAAAAGTTAAAAATGAGGAATTTATACATACCTCTCCGTTTTGGGACGTTGAGTCTGACTGATGTATTTGTAACCGTGTAATCCGGTGTTGGAGCAAAATTCGGCGGCCTGTTTTTTTAGGATATTCCAACATCCTATTTTTGAATACGATGCTTTGTGTCGAATTTGTGTCCTGACCTTCTTCATATTTAAATGATCGATTATGAACGAAGTTTCAATAAATTGCAAATGTTTATCGTGATAATTAGTGATACATGGACAAGCAAATTGGAAAAGGTATAACGGACTCTTTTCACCGATACGTTAGCGCGCTGACTGCTGCGTTATCGAGTAAATAGCAAAAGCACACAATGCAATAGTACATGCGCGCGCGCGACATGGTATAAAAAATTCATTCGACCTTCCGTCGATTGGTGCACGATAATTTCAACTTTCCTGGTCGCGATTTTATCCGCGTATAATTAATTATTAACCGATGAGAATATTAAAGCACAACTAATGCGAACATTATACATTTTCGTGCCATTTGTGGTTATACTTTTTCATATCGTAACGTTCCGTTTACATTTCGTGCCAACAAAATATTTATCTAGTGAATATCAGTGAGAATGCGGTTTGATTAGAAAAGATAAAATGAACATTGTTAAATGCTGTCATTATATACAAATATAAATTTTATATGATATTTATATGACATTTAGCTTTTATAACATAGGCTTTTATTTTTATATAACTTATTTCTCTAGGAAATAAATTTTCTTTATTATATAGGTTGATCTAGTTTAATCTTTCTCGCAATTATTTTTAAAACTAGTAGCTACAGAAAATTATCTTTCGTATCACAGTTATTCTGTTCTAAAGGAAATATTGTATAATCAATGTAACTTTGTACTGAATGAAATCATTCCCGAGATTTGAAGATCATCTGGATTTTTTTTTAAATATAATTGTGTGATTTTAATAAATAGCTACGATACTTATATCGAAGTTTATTTAATATTAAAAATCGAAAAATCGATTTTTTGAAGGCATTTTTAAATCATGATATATAATTTATAAATCCAGAATAAATATTTGACGAAGTTTACAAATAATAAACAGACATTTTTAAAAGAATACGTTTTAGAACTGATTCTTATATCTTATGTAAAAAATTAAGATTGGAAATCTTTTGGACCTACGGTATTTTACTATACATACAATCACTCAAAACAACTCATCGTGGATATATCAGGATCTTTATCGAATCTCTGGTTAGCCAAGGTAATGACATGTTCGCACACGACGTGCTCATGGTGTTTAGCACTTTATCTGCTTCCTCGAAGTTATTAATGATAGTAGCTGAGTCAGACATTGCGAGACGCGGGGGCGATATGGCGACGAGCGACATCTTCAAAGTTTAATATCCACGCGACTGAAGAGTCGCTTTTAGCCGCAAAGTCCTACTCGTAGCCTCTTGACGAGTATATACTTGTATCAGTATCACTGGACCTTTTTGTCTTCAATATCTCTCAGAATCAAGTATCATCGCGAGTGCGACTTTATTTCAAATAAGTTCCATAGATAAGTGATTGGATCATAAAAGGAATTCGAAATTACTTTAAAGAAAACCGCGGTTTCCTGAGCTGGGTTAATTGTAAGTTGCATAAACGATCGCATCTATATTATTTTTCCTTTACCAAATCATAGTAGAATATGGTGTATTACGAGTAAACATAAAAATTTGTATATATTGCTATTCTGATTTAATATTAGAGGTATCTTTAAATAATGAGATTTCAAAATAATGCAAATTTAATTTATTTCTTCAATAAAAATGTGTATTATTTTAAAAATAATCATGTTGATATTCTCTCTTTATTTAGTATTAATTCCTTTACATTTTATCATTTTTGATGTTTTAAATTATTTAATCATTGTAAATTTATATGTGTAAATTCTCAAAGTTTCTAATAATTCTTTTATTTAAAGATATTCTAAAAGATATTGTATTTTTAACGATATAAAAATACAGCGATACACATAAATGTTTAATATAAACAATTTTAATAATTATTTTGTATATAAACATTTTAATTATAAATTAAGATCAAAGACGAGGGTAAAAGTCGTATTAGTCAATATTTTTTACTATAATTATTATTTATAATTGATATTATTTTAATCAGAATTACGAATAGCTTTAATAATTTATATTCTTAACAGAGGAAAGATACTCTCTCTCTCTTTCTCTGTTTAAATAGCAATAGATGATAAGTTTGCTTAAAAATATTTATTCTGATTTTATATATGTATAAAGGGCACTTTTTATTAAAAGAAGAAAAGATAAAATAATCAAATAAATGATATAAAAAGACAGATTCAAGTGCATTTAGATTGAGTTGGTCACCAGTAGGGTAATTTTAATTATGAGATAGTTCATCCCAATGTCGAGGTTTTGAGTAGGGAAAATTACTGGTCATGGAAGGGATGAATCTGGGATAGATGGGGTAACAACGTATTATACATTTCTCTGTCAACCCCCTCGTACTAACCGCAAACCCTTCCTATTCACCCTTCTCTTGCCAACAATTTGTTAACTGCTATTGAATCGACTTCAACCAGTAACCTTCGAAGTGTACGCTCATTAAAACGTGACTTGTCACAGACACACACACAACACATATTGTTGATTAAATAATGATTGTTTCTTGTGAATGATGTGTTTCGTCTACATATCATGCAAAATATAAATATAATAGAAATAAATTAAATATATATTTTTTTTTCATAAAATAAGCAGTTCTATGAGCAGTTTTTTGTGAAAAAAACAACGTATGGTTTTTTCAAAATTTTCTTTTGTTTCAGATATGTATTTAACATCTTTATATTTTGATTATATGTTATACACACACGTAGCAACTTTTCGGCTGAAGCAAAAATTATCTGTATAGTTTGTCTAAAAATAAAAAAAAATCAAAATTAATATTCCTTAAATATTGATAATAGTATTGATTATATGTATATTAAGGCAATATTTTTTTGTATAATTATTTCTTACTTTATTATTCGATATACACTTACAAGTTCTTCTTCTTCTATAATGAATTTCTATTCTCGAATATATAGCCTCTATAAACATACGAATATATATACTATTATTGTATATATTTGAATTATAATTAATCCGTTTTAACTCGATTTATTCTCAGCTTTATAATTAGCAACAAATAATATCTTATTTATAATTTAATTTTCAATCTTGAAAGTTAGTGGTGTAGCATATAATATATGTATACAGGGTGTAACAGAGCGCCCGTATCAGCAGTTTTTTGAGGAAGCAACGCATTTTCGTAAAAAATGTTTCATGTAAAAGTTGTAGAGCTCTAAGTGGCGCATTATATAATAATATTAGTATGATCTTGAATAGCACCATCAAGGTCACATAAAAATCACTTTGAATTTCTTAAATGGGACCCCCTATTTCTCATTACATATTATTGTAGCTTATCTCGAGACCTTTCCAAAACACTATAATAAAATATTTCTTCATTAAGTACTTTTTGAGTTATTTTATATTTTAATCTGACATATTTTGATATAAAAATTAAAATATCTCGTAAAATATTTAGTTTTCGATAATCTTACCGTAACATTTTTATGTACAGAATAATGATTCAAATAAACATCCTGATGTTATTGATTTCTTCGTCACTAAAGGTTTGTCAGCAAATTATATTGAGGTCGAGACATGTCTCGATATCAGCTCTGATCACACCCCAATTATCCTGACACTTAGCGATACTTTTATATCTAAGACTCCATCATCATTCACTAAAACTGATTGGAAGGGTTATTCGGACTATCTTGAAAAATACATTGTGCTTAACATTCCATTTAAAACTCATGACCAGTTAGAAAAAGAAGTAAAATTATTTACCGAACTACTACAACTGGCAAGCAGAACCAACACTTTAATAACCAAAAAACCTACGCCTACAACGAACTTCTCTATCGAAATAAAAGAATTGATAAGAGATAAAAGGAAAGCACGCAGGAACTGGCAGAGAACTCGAGACCCTGATCAAAAAAAAAGTTTTTAACAAGATGAATCAAAAGTTAAAAAGACTTCTATATGAAACCAGAAACCAAGGAATAGCTAAATACCTTCAGGAACTAACAGCTGACGTGGACACAAATTACTCTCTTTGGAAAGCAACTAAGCGCATTAGAAGACCAATCATTAATTCGCCACCCATTAGAAAACAAGATGGCTCATGGGCTAGAAGTAGTCAAGAAAAAACAGACCTCCATGCTGATCATCTTGAAAATGTTTTTCAACCGCATGATTTTCATGCAGATGTTCCAGATCTGGTTATCGAGGTATCACGAGAAACCACCCCTATCAAACATGTCTCTCCTAAGGAGATCCAAAAAGAGATAAGTTGTTTAAAATCTAAGAAAGCTCCCGGATATGATTCCATCACGGTCCAAATGTTAAAAAATTTGCCTGATAAAGGAATTATGAAGCTGACTCACTTGTTTAATGCGTCTATTCGTTTAAGATATTTTCCCAAACAGTGGAAGATTGCTGAAATTATTACTATCCCCAAATATGGTAAATCTCTAAATGAGATTACTTCTTACAGACCAATCTCACTTCTTCCAAATGCAGTCAAAGTATATGAAAAACTTATTATTAAAAGATTGAAACCGATTGTGAAGTCTAATCACCTTCTTCCTGATCATCAATTCGGATTCAGAGATAAACATTCGAGTACTGACCAGGTTCATCGTTTAATCGATAAAATTGAAGTGGCGCTGGAGGACAAAAAAGTATGCTCCGCTATATTGCTCGATGTATCTCAGGCATTCGATAGGGTTTGGCACGAGGGACTGGTGTACAAGCTTAACAAAATGCTGCCGAGATCTTTTAGCAAATTGCTGATATCCTATCTACAAGACCGCAGCTTTAGAGTGAGAAGTGATGATGCATATTCCGAATACCGGAAAATTGCGGCAGGTGTTCCTCAAGGCAGCGTATTTTTGCGCTCTTTTAGTTTAGCAAAAAAAATTTTTTTTTGTGGGGGGGCTGAGTGGACGGTCAGCGAGCCCACCCATTAATAACAACTAATATCGAAAAACGAATACGCAGGATTTATGCGCTAATTATGCGCTATAATCTCCTGATAATTTTGATTTTTGCGCTGCAATCCTTAAGGGATTTCTCTCTTGAAGCAAAGGACGAAATTCTCATATAACTCGATTAAAATTGCAAAAATAGGAAAATTAACCATACACGATTACTACTCGATTTATGCGCTATCATATCGAGATAATTTTGATTTTTGCGCTGCTAGCGCAAAAATCAAAATTATTTTGATATGATAGCGCATAAATCGAGTAGTAATCGTGTATGGTTAATTTTCCTATTTTTGCAATTTTAATCGAGTTATATGAGAATCTCGCCCTTTGCTTCAAGAGAGAAGTCCCTTAAGGGTTGCAGCGCAAAAATAAAAATTATCAGGAGATTATAGCGCATAATTAGCGCATAAATCCTGCGTATTTGTTTTTCGAAATTAGTTGTTATTAATGGGTGGTGGGGCTCGCTGACTGTCCACTCAGCCCCCCACAAAAAAAAATTTTGCTAAACTAAAAGAGCGCAAAATTTTTTTTTGTGGATTTGGTGAGCGCATAATTAGCGCATAATTATATAATTTTTTTATTGAATTTGTGCAATGGGGGGGGGTCCAGCTAGGCAGATGTTACAAACTCAGACATAGCAACCAAAAAACTACAGGGTACCACAAATCGGATTGTGGATTGGACCTTTAGATGGAGAATAAAATTAAACAAAAACAAATCCCAACACATAAATTTTACCTTGAAAAAGGAGATTCCCCTACCGATTACTATCAATTAACAAGTAGTTCCGTACTCTAATACTGCAAAATATCTAGGTATGACC